GCAGGGTTACCTGCTCTCCTCATCCAAGCCGTTGTGCACTAGTAGCATTCTCTCTCTGTATCATACCGGATCGCAGTGCTCTCCCACACAACTGAATTTTTTTGGTGCTCACGTTCATGCGAGTACTCGGAATTCATCATGTATTATGAAGTCTCAACTTGGCCTCAGTAGCTTCGTTCCAAGTTAGCAGTGATAGACGTGGCGTCATTACCTGTGCGGTACTCCTTCTACGAGAGAGCAACAGCAGCTGAACTGTGAATGCTTCCGCGTCCTATTCAGTCAGCCCGTATGTAGCGTTCGCACCTTATTTTTTGCGGTACGCTGCTGTTGAAAATACTTTCTTTAACAGTTCCTTTTTTTTTGCTCCTTTTTCCTGTATTATCAGCACCCGAATTTCTTTGAAGATGGTATGAGGCGCGAAAAGATTGTCCTGGAATTCACTGCGTCCTAAACATTTTCTTGGATAACACGTACCGCTAGGTGATAAGTGTTTTCTCGGCCAAAGTTCCTGGAGTTCCAGGCCGGAATTTCGCCTACTATAAAATATATTGTTCTGCCATGTTCCTGAACAGAGTCATCTGTAGATAAGCCCAAATTTACGCAACAGAAAATTTCCAAAATTTTCTCTCTTGAAATTACGTCAGATCACCTACAAGCCACTAAATTAGCACCCATAAAATTTAGCTTGTGACTGGTTTGGGATTAGTGTGTGAAATTTGAGCTTGTCTCACAATCAAAGCACTCTTTAAAGGAGTACCTGTGTGTTACGTTAGTGGTGCTGCAGAGCCATTTTGCACAAACTCGTAACACATCCAAAAAATAACATTTTACTCTCAAAATGAAGTAGCAGCTCTCATGAATTTTGTTTTTATTCGAGTTAAAACTCCGACAGTATTTCGGAAATTCTGATTTTTGAAGTAGAAGCTTTACGGGTTTGGTGCGACAGTGGCTCTGGTCGGATTGCCGTCGCCTTCGTTGACCGGACCGAGCTGTGAGTGAATTGTTTCTTGCAGGACTTAATCTGATCTTGATTTATCGCGTGATTACCCATATAGAGCTGGTATGTGCCTTGCTGGCCAGAGTGGGCGTAGAAGCGGATAATTTTACTTAAAGTAGTTGTCGAGCTGTTTTTCGGGACGACGAATGTAGTAAAATTGGCCTTTCGCAGTTATCGTGGTCGTAACGAAAGTGATTGCACTGTGAAATTGTGATGGCGAGTAGCATCCATCCTGGAACTCTGGACAAATTTGCAGCAAGCGGAATAGAACGCAACTGTTGACAGTGAATCACTGGTTAAAAATTTTGCTTTTTGAGGGCCGTAAGTCAGCTTATTGTTTTAGAAGCACTACAAAATTGTAAGTTAAGAGCTTCCATTATCTTGTGATAATTAATAATTACTTTGACAGTAGATGGTCCGGGATTGAG